GACTGACTGACCCTGCTGCAGAGGACAATGTGACCACACAGGACTGACTGACTGACCCTGCAGAGGACAATGTGACCACACAGGACTTCACTGCCCTACTAGCAGGCACTGCCAGGCACCACCAGGGCTCAGAAAAATAGTATATCTGGGGGTAAATTAAGAATGCAAAGTTAGGGATGGAGAGATGACTCAGAGGTTAAGAGCATTTACTGTTCTTAGGGACCAGAATTTCTTTCACAGCAGTACCAGAATTAAGTGGCTCACAGTTGCCTGTAACTCCATCTCTAGAGGGTCTGCTGCCCTCTCCTGGCCACTAGGGCACCTGCAGTCACATGAGCATATAGCACACCCCAAGTACACATAAATAAAAATAAATCTTAAGAAAAGAAAGAAAAAGAACACAGTGTAGAGCATGACAGCAGTTGTTGTCTGCCAGAGAAAGAGCACACTCTGAGCGAACTACGGTGCCACTGCTTCTGCCGCAGGCAAAGCCTCCTTTTGTTGAGAGGGGTATCGAAGAAAAGTGGAACAAACACCCAAATCTCAGAGACAAGAGCCTGTTTAGTACCAGAACACCACAAAGCACCAGTGCTTCCCACCTTGCAGGGCTTTATAAACTGCTCACTTTTTCAGGAAAGCATGAGCTAGCTGCTAAACTTACACACAACACAACTGCAACACACACCAACTACGAACATGTGTAGAAGAGGCTGAGAGGTTTCTACAGCGGTGAAGGGGTGAGAGCTACGAGCCAAGGCCTATGTCATGAGTTACAGTCAACACTAATGGACATGAACAACATGACCCTCGGAGCAAAGCTGATCCAAACTCCCAAAAAGCACAATCAAGATGAAAATGACTCCGACCAGGGCCAAGTCAACCCTACTCACCTGTTCCCATCAGACATGAACTTTAACTAGAACTACTTGAGGGAATTCCTTTGCATTAAGGATGTCAACCTAGAGGAGAACCTTTACCGTGATTTATCCAGGAATCTCACTGGGGTGATAAAATCTTCAATAGGAATCAATTCCTGGGTGGCCTTTTCCAGTTTTCGGATCCTCTTCTTCAAGCGATCCTTTGCTGCTTGATCCTTTTTAGGGTCTACCTTCTTCTTCTTTCGCAGAGGTTCCGCTCTAGTAGATAAGAAACAGACACCCAGTGCTACTTCAATCCCAGGACAGACACGATGCTGAAGGAAGTGCCTTACACTTGTACCATACACTACAAGAAAGAGTTGCCCACAGTCCTGACTCCACGAGCTTAGTGAGAGTCAGTTTTTATCCCACTGTTTTCGTGAGGACTGCAGGGGTCCCATCAACTCCGGGAAGCAGCACAAATCTACACGTATTTACTAAGCGGCAGTGTTAATTTTTTTTTAAAGACACATTCGCACATAGCCCTGGCTTGCCTTGAACTAGCTGTGTAGTCACGGAGCTAGGTGGCTACGTCCTTGAACTCCAATCCTACTGTCTCTACCTCCTGACTGCCAGGATAGTCATTTTCTACCACTCCTGGTACTATGGTGCTGGGGCTTCAACTGGAGGCTTTGTGCATGCTAGGCAAGGACTCAATGCACTGAGCTACATTCTTAGCTTGGAAGTGTCAGTCTGTGACTCAGGGATACCTTGAAACTGCCCTGAGAAGTGAACTTACTGAACTAAAATTTACTTACTGAAATGGATTAAAAGCTCATTCACATTTTAAATCAATTTGTGATTAAAAAAAATGCTTTAAGAATAAAAGAGTCAGGATAGTAAAAGTGACTGGCTATGTCTTTATTTACTTCTCAGAATTTGTTACGAATTTCTGGGGTGTCCGAGATGGCTTAGTGGTTAAGAACACTTCCTACTCTTGCAGAGGACCTGGGTTTGGTTGCTAGCACTCACATGGTGGCTCACAAGCACCATTAATTTCAGTTCCAAGGGATCTGGCACCCTCTTCTGGCCTTTGCGATCATCAGGAATGCACTGTACACCCATACACTCAAACATAACACATTTAAAAAAAATTCCATGCCCTAAATCTTTGGCAATTATCTGGTTTGCTTCTAGGAACACATCTCCCAGACATAATTTGCCATTAGGAATAAGCAAATCTGGGGCTGGAGAGATGGCTCAGCAGTTAAGAGTGCTTACTAATTTAGAAGACTGGACTGTGGTTCCCAGCACCCACACCTGGGGCTCACAGCTGCCTGTAATTCTAGGGGATCTGTAAGCCCCACCCAGGGCACCTGAAAACACGACAGGCACATAAACAAAAAAGAAATCTTAAAAACAATCAGCAAACCCTTTAGCATTAAAATCGACTAAATCAAGTCCCAAGAAAGTATCCAAAGTTTCTAGAGGAACTATTATTATTAGTCTTTGAACCTTCCTCCCGCTCAATGAATCAGGATGAACTGAGCAGGGAAGAGCAAAGCCTGTGGAGAGACAGAAGTTAAGATGTGTCCTTTAAAACACACAGAACTCCTCAAAGCTAACTGCTATTTATTTAAACTACTTTACCACACATACATGCTATCGTAGTACAGCTTGTTGCAAGGACAGAGGCATCTACCTACATTTAACTATTAGCTTGATAGACTGATCTGCTAACCAAAGGTTGGGCAATCTTGCTTTGTTTTGGTTATATGCATACATGTGTTCCTCACACTCCAAAAGCTAAGGGTCACATTGAATTTTACCTCATGGGGATGAGATCCCAGAAGGACAGCAAGGAAGCTCTCTGGTGGGTGTGTCTGGCCTGTGTGTGGCAGATTCCAGGGATCCTGAAGGAGAGAAGGGTATGCATAAAGATCCGACTGGGAAAGAGAAGGCACATACACATAACTACAGGGTTCTCAAAACCTGGGGGGGGGGGTTTGTATTTACTTTGCTTTTTTTCAGACAAAAGTCTCTGTAATTCGGGCTATCTTGGAACTCGAGGCAATTCTCTTGCCTAGGCTGATCCACCATGCCTAGCTCACTTGTATTAGGCCAGCAAGGTCAAAGTGAGGATTTTTCAAAACTCCGTTTCGCATTTTGGGTAGGACCCCTACTCGTTCTAGCAGGATTTTTTTTTTTTTTTTTTTTTTTTTAATGAGGGTGTAACATAGCCTGGGGTTTACACGTGCTACGTAGCTATTGATGACCTTGAATTTCTGATCTAGCCTCTACTTCCACAGCCCTGGGATTGCAGGCGTGTGCCTCCACGCCCAATGTGTTTGTGGCGCTAGGATGGAGCCTTACTTAGGCTTCAGACTCGTTAGGCAAGTAATCTGTCTACTGAGCTACATTCCCAGCTCCTATTATCATTTGCAACAGACGGGATCAGTTTATCCCTGAAATAATCTGCAAGTGCCAGAGCCGCGCCAGGGCAGAGCCCGCGCACGCGCCCTGGGCACTTTGGCCACCCGCGTCGGCACTCACCAGCTCCGCGACCGAAGCGCCCGCGCAGCACTCAGCATCACCGCGGTAGCCATAGCTTTTCACGCCACTCGCAGGCGGGCGGCTTCCGGGAGCGCGCCCCTGGGCGGTCCGACCTGCCGGACCGAGTAGGGTCAGGCAGGCCGCGGCCCGGAACTCTCCGGTCCGGGATTCGGAGAGGCGAGCTCGCCTCTGGCCCCGCCCCCGACGCAGCCCCGCCCCGGGCAAGCGCGGCAAGCTTCGCAGCGTCCCTGCGGCTGGCGTTCCGCTTCCTGTTGGTGCTGCGGTGCAGGCCTGCAGCCCTTGCCCAAGTGTCTCCCGTGCCGGTGTGGCTGCTCGCTGCTCCGCCTGGCCTATGTGTTCACGTCTATGCAAACGCCGCAATCCATGCGCCCGTCTTGCCCCCCCCCCCCTGTACCCCTCCACCAGGCTAGCTCTTTTCTGCATCCGTTAGAGACCAGGGCCGCTGCCGCCTGCCGCTAGCTGCATGCTGGCGCCCGCCCGGATGGCGCTCGCGAGATGCCCAATAGCGCGTGTTGAGGGATGACGGATGCTAGTTACTAAGCTGGACTCGGAGCCGCGGAGGTAGGGCTAGGGACCTGGACACTACCGTGGCCCCGCATCGCCGGGCGGAACCTCGAGGCTCTGCCAGCTCGTCCCAACCGAGCCTCAGCAGCGACCGCGCCCGTGCCAGACCCAGAGCGGAGTAGCCCCGCGCTCCCCCCTGCCTGCCAAAGAGCTGAGGCGGCCCCGTCCGCGTAGGGAGCGGTTTCCCGCCGGGGCGATTTGGCAGGTGCGCGCCGTGACTTCCGGCGT